TTATCACTACCAAGACATCAGCAATTATCTGTCATGGGAACTTGTGCAGGGGTCTCGATTACGTGTCTGTGCAGGCATTAGGACCCATTACTCCATTTGTAGACTCCAGTAGCCCCTCTATTGTTCACAGTGTCCCTGAGAGGCATCGTCTCTCTGGGGATATGGGAGTGTCAGGAGGAGAAGTAAAACCAGAGCCCAGAAAATTACTCAGGAAGCCTGGCGCCTTACAATCCTGCTTTGTGGCTGCCATTGTGGATCACAGAGTTGATTCTCTGGCTGTCTATTACAATGACTCATGTCTTATTTTATTTTTCCCTTGGATTATCAAGAATGAATGGAGCATAGGAGGGGAGCTTTGCAGCCTTCAAATCTATTTCTGTTCCCTGAGTCAGCTGATGTCTCCCCCACAACGTCTACATTTATCTGATGTTTATAATATCACCTTTTCTTTGCCAGTTCTTTCTAAGCATGATTTCAGCTCAGAGATATTGAGACACAAGGCATCGGTCCTTTGCTCAATCACACAATGGCCAGTGCAGGAACAGACACACTAAGATGGTGTATCTACAACCCAAGCAATTTGCTTCAACTCAAAAGAGCCAGAAAGTAGGAAAAGTATATATACCGTGCACTCTCTATATTGCTTTCTTTCTATACAGATTTCTTTCCTTCTTGCTCTTTCTGTTTCACTGGTGCTGCGGTACAAAGGAGATGAAGCAAGTGATAGAGAGAGAGGTAGGGATTCCATACAAGGCCCATAGAGGAATGCAGAGTGAGAGATGGAAGACAAAAAGAGCGAGTGGGGAAGAGACGACAGGATGAGAGAGTTAACGGAGGGTGATGGAGGCAGCTGAGTGAATCTCAGCAGTAAATCATCTCAGAGCCGCCCCATCCCTATCTCCTCCTCGCCTCGCCAGGAATCTTTTTCCCCCTGACCTTGTCTGCCGCTGTGTCTGTGAAGAAAAGATGGGGCCAGATTATCTATGATTGGAGATGGCCATTATCTAAACACAATCTTGGAGCCAGGTCCCTCTCCACTAGCCTCTGCTGTGAGACTAGAGACCACACTGATGAGAAGAGAGATGATGGGTCAGCCAGCAACACCCTCTCCTTTTATTAACTCTGATAAGATGGTTTCACCACTCTCCCGAAATGCCCAGAAACCTCCATCAACAATGACTTTTTCACAATGTGCCACTCACAGTGCATTTGTCTACACAGTCTTCTTACCCTACTTGTTTATTAGCTGTTCATACTTTTGTTTTATTGGATACTTATACAGTGCCAGGAGCACTGCACTCCCTGCATTTGATGCTCAGTGGTCCTGTGTGAGCCTTTTTAATATCTTGTCTTGGCTTTTGTCTGGCTGAGGGGATCGAATGGGTCATGTTTGTCCTTGCCAACCTGCTGCTCTTCAGAAGGCTGACCACAGCCGGGCAACGCAGAGATTGACAGGACCTTGAGATGTTGCGCATTGTGCTGTCATGCCCCACCCCAGCAGGTAGGGAAGAGTGAGGGCTGCTGGCTGTCTCAGTCTGGCAGGCCACAAGGGAGGGACTGTCTGGAGGCACCTCACGCCCACAGAGTAGCAAGCTTCACTTTACATGCAAATGAAGCCAAAAGATCCCTCTGTGCCCCTGGACACAATCGTGCAAAACTCTGAAAAGTCAAGAAGAACCCTGGCAGCGGTTGATATGTGTGTGCTGAGAAATACACAGAGACACACAGAGCCAGACACAAGGACAAAAAAAAATTTCCAACACTGGCCATTGTCAAGTATTAATTTAAGACTTTAAAGTATTGATTTAATTAACTTTTTGGCTGAGTTCCATAACTGAGCCAAGCTATTAGAGAAGATACAGAAAAAAAGTAAAATATTTGGACAGAAGCTGCAACAGGCAATTTCTAACATGTTGCCTTGATTGTTCTGTGTTGGTTTTTGATCATGCATACCAGAAGGTTTAAAGCTCCCCTCCCACTCCCCCTGCGTAAATGGATGTGACAAACACAAAGACTGTGTTTTTTCATCGTGCCTGATACACTGACAATTTGAATGTTTGTTCTTCTCCGATTACTCCATTTGCCACCTCACTATACTGGATAATCCACTTGCATACATCAGATATGAACCAGCAGCAGAAAGGTTTGCTCCATGATTTGTGCATAATTTTCATTGGTATGGGGTCTAGTTACTTCTGTTATACCATCCAGTTGTTTTATAACTCACAACAGTACACTAACTTCAACACTGTACTTTGAACTAAACATATACACTGGCAATCAATTATACTGTACATCAAGTTTGAGCTTTAAAATGTACAGTATTTAACTTAATATCAAAAGAAAGCTGTTGTATAAACAGCATCACCAGGGACATTGGTTGAGTGGATGCAAAAGCATGACATTATTCAGTACCCCATATAAACAGTTTTTAAATTTCCATCAAGCAATATTGATTATTATTAATATTAATTCAAGTGAGTCTTATCTCATTCATTTTTGCATTCCTGAGTTCGTATGTTGCTTCTAAAGAAGTTATCTTAGAAAGTTGATATTAATACTATTTGTAAATCCATAACATTGTAACAAATGATATCAAACCCAGCTGACTAGGTAACTCAGCTGAGGCAGGAGGTGTAGGGTTTCTGAGCTGCTTACTAGACTACACTGCTGAGAATGAAACTGCTCGACAGAAATTATATTTAGTTAAAGAAAATTCATAAAACCTCAACATTATGAGACACTACTGAAACTACTGGTCAGTTCCCACACTAAGGAAAGGTTATAGGCATATTTTTTAATGGTGACCAGTGGCTGCACAGTGTGAAATACAGTATTTCTATGCTAAATCATACAGTGTTTTGTTTGTTTGTTTAAGTTGTTTCCATTTATCTTCTTTAGGTTGTTTTCTCTGGTCTACTGTATTTTAAAAGCATGTATTCCTAATGTATCACTTGAAACCTTTCAGTCATCCTTTTCATTCCTTTCCTCTACAGCAAATCATTGTCCCACATTCACTGTGCAGCATTCCCACATTTTCCGAAAACAATAATGATGAAAATAATGGTAATTTTTGTTAGGTCTGTTAGGTCTCATACCATAATTATCAAAAAACAAAAAATTGGCAAAAGGTGGCACAAAGCCGAAGTTACTGTGACTAAATGAAGCTTGCGTGAACTATTCTATGAAGTTAAGTGAGTTAAGTGACGGGATATTACATTTCTTATGAATCAGGATGTGTTAAGTAATGATTAACTTCAGATTTAAACAATTTTAGATAACTGTAACATTATCAGGTATATCCATTAAGTGTAAAATCTAGGAATCATTTTTTGTTAGGCAAATGTAAACACTTATTACTGGAGAATCTTACTTTGAAAGCAAATGCCACCTTTTGATTCCAAACAAAACCCAGTAGGCTCCACACAATGGGGAAACACAGGAGATGATGAAAAATAAGTCTAACTCAATATTAAGAAGCTGTTCTCAACATTTTGCACACCCAGTCTGTGCACCTAGATTGTGTGAGTGAGTCTGGTGGCGGGCCTCCCAGGCAGCAGCGCACCGGCATCAGCCTTCTCTAATGAGTCCATAAGAAGCGCAACTTCTCTGTTGTGCTGTCTGGAACATTACTCTGCATTTGAAATGCACCCAGCGGCCTAGCAGGCATCTTTTATTGTTGGATGCAGCTGTCCATGCTTTCTGAACACTTACTACGACCAAGCTTCCCTGACTACTGCCGGTAGGCAATAAGTGAAAAAGAAAGAAAGAAATATTTACCACAACAAAAACAAGTCATTCTTTAAAAAGGATATTCCCATTTTTGGCAAACAAAAGCAGAAAGTTTTGAAAAGTAGACGTCACAGCGACTAATGTTTTGCCTGGAGAGAAAGAGTAGAGTAGGGGATGACAATAAAGGGGAAAGAAAAAGATAGATAGGGAGCAATAGAGACAAAAGGAGAAGAGAGGAAACAAGAAGCACAATCTATATACATATAATGCAGCCTACAACACAAGTAGTACTGTATTCCAGGGAGAGAAGCATCAATCTTGACAGCATATGGCATCTGTGCAAAATCCATTAATTTTTGATATACCGGGTGCTGAAATGAAAAGGCTTCCTGAGACAAGCAATTGTCAGATGTCAGTAGTATTTTGATAACTTTTTTGATCTCCTTTTTTATTTGCATTCATAAAGCGATGCTGCCTGAATGCCACCTCAGTCTGGACATGGCTGGAGACTGACATGGAACCATTTTCCACACAGCTGCTCTCATCTTAAGCATGGGGGCACTAGGGGAAAAAAAACTGTGTATTACAAAGTGTGTGAGAAAGGAAGTGAGTGTGCATTCACATAAACGTTCATATTCCAAGATCCACTGTTAAATAGCATATGTTTTTATGACTTTTTAAGATTTTAGTTCAGAAATGGTAGTGTTAATACACAGTCTTTGAGAATACAAGACTGTACAAGCAAATCTAAATGATGTAGCCCACTTAAAAAAAAAAAAAAAAAAAAGCCCGGTTAGCTCAGTCGGTAGAGCATGACACGCTTAATCTCAGGGTCGTGGGTTTGACCCCCACAATGGGCACAAAGTTGTCCAGTTACAATGCTATTGGTGGACGACTGTGGTTTAGTGGGTAAAGCTGTTGTCTCTGAACCAGAGAGTGGCAGGTTCAAATCTTGGTGTTTGCAGTTAAAGTGTTCTTGGGCAAGACACTAAACCCCCAGATTGCCCCCATTGGTTGAGTTGGTGCTGTAGATGTCTGTACTGGAAACAAATTCCTTGTGAGTAACATACTTAGCCAAATAAAGGTGATTATCCTTAATTACCATATGCACACAGACATTATTATTTGAAAGCACTGGCAAGGTTGGAAAGTGCAGATTACAAATGTCTCTTCAGAGTAGAGCAGAGAAAGCGCAAACGTCCTCCCACTATGTGGCCCAGCTCTGTTTGAGGGATAAGATGAGCCTCTTTCAATACAAGATAAGTACAAAGAGGTCAGTCGGCTCAGTGATTTTGTCATACTTCTCTATCCTCAGTCGCTTCCTCACCCCTCCTAATGCAAATACATGACTGTACTAGAGAAGAGGGTTTTTTTGTTTGTTTCTCCGCATTTTTAATGGATAAATCTTTGAAGCCATGAAGTCACATCCTTGTGCATATGGTGTATTATAAGATATTTATTCATATTCATAAAGTGCCAATTTAAAAGTTAGGAATTGCCATAGGAGACAAGCGAGAACTTAAAAAAACCAATAAGAGCTGCTTTGGAGACAGGTGCAAAGTGGACTAATTAATAGCAATCTATACTCTGGCCAGGGCATGCAGTGGGCCGACTGAGACACTCTCAGGTCAGGCAATGAAAAGATAGCAGCGTCAAATTCATTTTCTCACTGTGTATCTCCCAGAGGAAGGCTCTGAAGTACACTCACACTTCCTTTAATGCTTTCACTGGGGTGTAATTTATTTTTGCGTTTGCCAGCACATTTGGAAAGTTCATTACCTCGCTCATGGCTTTTTTATTAGCCTTGTAAAGCCGCCATTAGATCTCCTCGGGCCAGGACAGAGATGAGACTTTTGTCCCAAAACATTAACACACTGCAGGAGGCCTGTAAAACTGCACTCTGCCCATTTAAGTGGGAGCAGTGACACCTCAGTGAAAATGTGAAAGATAGAGGGGACCATCATGGCAAAGTGATGTGTGCTCTGGTCTGGCTGTTGCCTCACTTCATGTTTCACCTTTGCTGCCATGGGCAGGAGTCAGGCTTACTTCTTTCTAACAACTGTTCAGGGCTGACTTTACAGCAACTCTTCTACTGATGCCCAAGATCCAGCAAGATTTCTGTTGTTTGGTCAGTTTTTGCTAAATCACAGTCGACAGCATAAGTGGCTGTCTCTGTGGGGATCTCCTCAGGGTTCTCGCTCACCTCTGGCACTGGACCTCCATGGGAGAACAAACAGTAATGAGCAGTGGTATCAGGCTCAGCTGGCAGGTTTTAGAAATCCTGCTGCGTGAGGCGTGACTACAGGAACATGAATTGACACCATAGCTACAACACTAGAAGTACAGTCCAGGCAGCATGGCCTTATTGATTATGCAGGTGCTCCTTTGTGTGCCCAAAGGGGTAGCAGGTATGTGTCTCATTTGAACTTTACAGGAACAGAACAAGATCCGATTTCCCCACTGCAAAAAGGAAACTGTGGTGCTTTAATTTTAGAACAGCTGCGTCTAATGGGGCCTGGCAGGTACAGGAGGCATCACATCTGTCAAGGCCCAGGTGATGCTCTCGCCCTCCGCTCCTCACCCACCCCCTACCAGTCAACTGACTCACACTGAAGATCAACAGTGTCATTTCCAATAAACTCTTGTTCCTCTTCCTGCCACTTTCCATCAGTTCTGGCGATGGGTTCTTGCTAGTAGCCATTTCATTCCACAACTCAGTGGAACAGGGGATGCATAATGTAAAAGATGTAAAGAAGATAAATGCTCTGTCTAATGCCAGGGCACTGGGAAGATTAATTAGAAAAAATGCAGCATCCTGACTGGCCAAAATGAAGTGGTATAGACCCCATACATCTGAGCCTGAGTGCCCCCTTCTGGAGCCCAGGGAGCAACAAGGCCACGCAGTAGTGTCAAGATATACAGTAGGTGTAGATGGACCTGCCCTTCAAACTTAATGAGTAGCAGTTCTACAAATTTCACTCCAGTTGTTCCAGTTGAGTATTGTTCAGGGGAAAAAGTCCTAAATCTCAGCTCAAAGCTTCAAATCACACTAGATTTAGCCATCATTTACACTGTACAATGGGAAGTGCCCTCTGACTTTAAGACTTGACTCTTTGACCACTCGCCCATGATTTTTCCTAAAGAGAAAGCTTATAGAAGATGTCAGTTTGACAGTCATAAAACAGTTCAGATTTTACCATGATTTGTGCCTGATTTCAGGTTTTATTGTGACTTACTGTACTGTACAGAAACAGTCACCATTAAGTGGCCAGTATGATGAGGATCTGATCTATTTTTGACACAAGAATAAAGGTCATATATTTATAATGATGGAAAGTAAGATAGCTAATTAAAACCGATACAAGAAAAAATATATTAAGTTAGCTATAAACCTTGTTTTGGGGCACGATAATGACTTTTTCCACCATCACCTTGTGTGTGTGTGTGTTCAATAAAGACATGAAAGATCATGACCGTTTGTGTTTTATCAGCTTAGAAATATTATGTTTGTTGACATTTGTGATCTGATCGCATTTCATGACCAATTTATATAGAAAACCAGGAAACTGCAAACAGTGCCATTGCTTTTTCTTGTGATTGTAAGTCCTATTGCCTTGGGTATGGGAAAATGTAATACTGTGTTCTTAACCCATGTTCTCTTTCAACTTAGCGACTTAAGCATCCAGATGATCTGACATTTTGTCTACCTGATCAAAATATTCCTGCCTCCTTTCCACCTTTACCTGGAACCCACAGCGTTCAAAACATCATCTATATTGAACAACACTGTGGTACAGCTAAACAGCTCACTGGAAACAGAAAAATAGCTCACCCTCATACCAGGGTTGGATAGCACACCACATAACAACAACAGTAGCAGCAGCAGCAGCAGTGTGTGCTCAACACAGCAGACTGCTGATAAAAGGGTGGGGGGAGGTTGAGTTGCACAAGTTCCCCTCAGCTCAGCAGAACAGTGACATCAGCTGTAGCATTTGTCTTTTCTCTCCTCTCTTCCAACTTCCCTCTTTTCCTCCCCCTTCCTCTCTTCCTATCCAGAAGACAGGAAGCTGTTTGTGGGAATGCTCGGCAAGCAGCAGAGTGAGGATGACGTCCGGCGGCTGTTTGAGACCTTCGGCCAGATCGAGGAGTGCACCGTCCTGCGAGGGCCTGATGGGGCCAGTAAGGGTCAGAGCCCACACACCTCCCCCTCTTTCATTCTCTGTAGATCTCTCTTAATCCCTCTGTCTGTCTGCACTGTACGTGTGCGGTTCTCTTTCTCTTTCTGCTCTTTACATTTTTAGAGTAAGGCTTTGTGTTCTGTGCACTCACTGACATCATCTGCAATCCACTCTGCTCTTCTGAATAACTCATCCCCCCTACAGCTATTCTGTTGTTTCACCACCTCTTATGTGTCTCGCATGCATTTCTTTCATACCTCATTGTCACCAGGCTCAGACACCTCCTTCTTTTTCTCACTGCTTCCTTTATTCCCCTTCCCTTTTTCACTCTCACTCTAGCTCTCGCTCAGGTTTTTTCGTCCCAAACTTCTTCTAATGTTGTCTCTTCATCATGGCAGCTCCTCTCACCCTGAGCTTATACTCAACAAATACATCATACAACACCTAATTTTTCTGCTCACCCAATCCTCCTCCTCTTCCTGTTATCTGAAAAGCGAAGGGGTGTAATCATGTTTGTTTCCCACATTCCCATCATCCCTCCCCAGAGACACTGCTGGACAATAATGTCCTACCGCAAATAAAGCAGTCAGGCTCTGGGTTTCGCTGCTGTCATTCACTGTGCTGCAGATTTGTCTGCATTCAGGAATAGCTTTTCATTCCTATCTATGGCTTAAGTGTTGTTTAGTTACGCTAAAGATGGCTGTGAAATATGTGATGCAGGTAAGATTGTTGTGAGAATGTGAAAGGCCCTCCCATCATCCATTGATTGGTCCCTGTCTCACAGCCACATTTGAAGTGATAATGCTGGAGATATTGCTTGGAACCTCGACCTTTCCCTCTCTCTGCTGACTGTGATTTATTCTCCTGTATGAAGTATGTGAATATTTGCAAAGGATGTGTGGGAGGGCAAGGAAAAGGGTTTGATAATGCACAAGCCTTCTCAGTATATCATATAGGAAGGCTGGCTATGCTGAACCACATACCTATCTGTGTCCTGATCTGTTCCTCTCACTGTTAATCCTGGATCTATTGCTCTGCGTCACCCCACCGACCCACTATCTTTCTTTCTTCCTGGCTTGTTTTCTCATTCACCGTCTCTCCCCTTTTCTTCCCGTCTGCCCCAAGCTGATTGACAGCACATAAAATGAAATAAGGCCAGTGCTGTTGTGCCAGACAAGCTAGTTTTCTCCCTCATTCGCGCTTTCACTTCTTCTCACCATTCTGCAGCCCACACCTCAACCCCTTCACATGTCATATGTTTCTTGTGTTGGCATTTGCCTCTATTACCACTGGCTTGATCAGCCCCTTCTCTTCAAGTTCACTGCTATGAAATAGCAAAAAGAGTAAGGTTAACTATAAATACTACCACCAGATAAAGTTCTCATGTATAGGTATCTTGTCCTATCACTGAATGTGTAACAGTCCCATGCAATCATTATAGAATGTTACAGCAAATTATTTTGCCAGCTGCCTCAGTCAGGATGAGGTTCCTATAATTTGAATGAGACAGACCTTGAAATTGACAGTGCTATCTGTTCCATGGTGGAAGTTTGGTCCCCTGTTGATGTAAATTTATGCTACTCAGAGGCTTTTTCAGCACCCCTCTTCACCCAATAAAAAGGCCGAGAAGTTTAACATCCATCTCTCTATGACGCTCCTCCTCAAAGTACTTTCAAAGTGCAACACTTGCTGCCAGAGTTGAATAGAACTCCGAATTGTCAGGAATAATAGAGAGATGGCTTTTAGGTCTATAATTAAGTTGTCTTATAAATGTCACCCATCCAGCAGGATGGAATTCATGCATATATATTATTACCCCGGGAATTCAAAAAGCTGCACAGATCCTCTCACTTGAAAGCAATACAATCTCTCGTTTTCCTTTCCCCCCAACTCATTCAGAGCCATCAAATTCAAAAACTCAAATGCACACTATAATTTACGCGGCTGTAGCACTTCCAGTTTTTCGTAGATGTTGTCCTTCAACTTATTTTTTCTTTTAGAAAAGCAAAGACACAGCACTGTTTTTGGTGGAGAAATTTGACACTGAATATTTGACATGACTTGGCTACTACACTGCAAGCCTTGCATTTTTGAGTGTCTGTCTGGTTGGGCGAGATCAGCCGAGGTCACTGGGACTCTGGCGGAATATTTGATATTTGAGTCACAATATCTGCACTACCAGCTAAGTTAATTTTGCTTAAATAACCAAGAAGAAACTGCCCCTTATTATTTCAACTACAAAGGTTGAATGTGTTTGTTCCTTCAAAGACAGAGTTGCAGTCAAAAGGCACAAAGGAGGCTGAAGCTTTTCATTTGAACAAATAAAAACCTTTCCTGCCTCTACCTGGGGGGGCATTCAAGTTAAGTAAAAAAGTGTTAGAGTGCTGTGACAGAATCAAAGCTTTCTTTGACTTATCTGTTTCTCTGTGTAGATCTATACAGCTTTGAGCGTATTTGACAGTCCAGAAAACACATGGCCTTTACTACTCACCACATTTCCACACAGAACAGTGTCAACAGCTTACCATTGATTGTGTGGCTGGAATGTGAATGGAAAGCCTGAGGTAAAGGTTAAAATTGCCCTCCATTGATTGTGCACATACTGCATATCCCTCAGTTCAATCTTTTTGATTTCATCAGGAAATTATTAATTTGTTTGTCAGGGAAGCAAAGCTGACTCCTGAGATGCAGAAGTGAATGGGTTGCTGCCAGACATAGAGCATCTATCGAGCCTTCCTAACTATGTTCATAATTTAAATGAATCATATGAACACATGTAACCATTTTAAATACTGTAGGTATCAGCAGTTCTGAAGAAACCAAGGACTGAACTCAGGAAGAGCCTGCCTGGTTCTAAGAGACTCGTGCTACTTGCTTAATTAAAATGGGAGAAGAATTAATCCACAAGTTTGTTAATTAGGTATCTCTTGACTTAACACATGAGCTACCTGAAGGCAAGGATATGAATAGGACATAACAGAATACCTCTTGCAGTCTATGACACCCATAAAGCTTAGAGAAATAGCTCCTGTTTAATTTAATGGCTTTTGGAAAATTTCAGTTCCGCTGCAATTCAGTTCACTAGCCTAGTTTAGTGCCTGTCCTTGCCTACACACTGATACACTATTTAATCATGTGGTTAGGATATGTAAGCTTCCAAAACATATTGCGTATTATTATTATCTACTTGAATCATTTATAATATTATTCAAAATGTTAATGCAAGGTGGTTACAAAACACTGCTGCCAGCGTCCTTTTCCTTGTCTTCCAGCCAACTTTTTATGGTGACTCTCCCTCTTGTGCACTGACTACACAACAGATTAAAGATGATTTGAATGCCCCTTGAGTAAACCCCCCTTGCCTCATCTGAAAAAAAATTGCGAGCAAAGATTCGGTTAGATAGGCAGATTATAATACTATGCCTTTGTCATCATAATCTCTTTTATGAGTGACTGCACACAAATCACAATGTGTAAATATTAAACAGATTAATAATCACAAACAAGTGAGGATAGTAAATGTCTTGGCTCCATGCACAGAAGAGGAGGGGGTAGAATTAGAAATGGGCAAGAGACAGGATATTCCACACAGTTAATGCCTTCACTACAATTAGACTGATTTATTCAGATATGTGTTCAACACACAAACAGCAGAACATATTTACAACCCAGATAACGTAAAAACAAAGGTAAAAAATGGTTTTCTACCATATTCACGGCCACCTGACGTTGTGCCCCTTTTCTCTCTCCCTCTCTCTTTTTTATTGTTTGCTTATACAGGCTGTGCCTTTGTCAAGTTCTCCAGCCACGCAGAAGCGCAGGCTGCCATCAACAGTTTGCACGGCGGACAGACTATGCCTGTAAGTAATACACACTCAAAAGAACTCCCAACATGTCTTGTCCTTACAACTGAAATATCTTCAGAATCAGTTTTATTTTTATGCAGCTGTAAAACAGTTTTTACACTTGATGTGGGCAGTTTTAAAGAACATTTTGTAAGTCATCCTATGCCACTTGGCTGCTTGCCTGTGGTCCCTGCTTTATAATATGTTTGAGCTAGACTGGATGAAAGTTTTCAAAAAGATTGATAGACTTTTGATTCTGTTTTCTGCCCTTCTAAAAGACAAACATTGACCATGTCTTTCTTTTAAGTTTCTTATCCCATATGCACACATCTCTGTTTTTGAAATTCAGTAAAGAGCATCTTTGTTTTTTTATGTTTGGAAACAATCTCATACATTTACAGTGAGACCAAAACATATAGGCTACACTGCCAAAAACATACCATAATATCCATATATCTAATAGCTATTTACTGCCATATACTATGTCTGTGCAGTGTAGTATGTGCTGTATATATCACACACAAATGATTCCCACAGTCAGAATCTGGCACTTTAATAGCGCAGAGTCACAAACTCTGAATCTCTGGCATTTTCACTCAGTATCTGCTATTCAAACTACCTTATTCACAGGATTATAAAGGCACGAGTGTATACTGCTCATGAATCCTTGATTGGACTGACACTGCGCTGCATTTTAGTCCTTACTCTCAATTGATTTTAAATTCACTGCCAAGAAGCCAATGCTGAGCTGCCACAAAATCTCTGGATGCAATTTTTGATCATATGGGACAAGCTCTGATAGAAGTGGCACAGTTGAGGGAAAATCCCTTGTGAAAATGGCATCCAGTAACAAAGTGCAAAACAGGATAATAATGTTTGTATAGTATGCTCTATACCAGAACAAGCTAAGGCACTGATGACCATTTTCTGATTAGGATTCCAATATTTCTCTTTCCAGGAGGAAATATCTCCCTCTCTTGAACAGCTTGAACAGCTCTCTTAGCCTGCTCCTGAATACTGAAATTAGTTTGAAAATAGTGGCTTTACACTGGGAGACAGTGTGTCATCTTTATGGTGGGCCAATTTAAATGAGGTAGTGGGCCAAGAAAAAAACTGTTCAGAAATGGTGTGACACTTTTTATGATGTTTAGGCAATCCATGAGAATGGCTAGACAGATAGTGTTAGAAATTAATATAAATGTGCGCCATCAGCATAAATGTGACATTTAATGCATGCACACTGTAACGGCAAAATTAAAATAAAATTAAAACATACTAGATTGATAATTGAGGATAAAGACAGAAAATGGATATTGTTATGAACATTTTCTAGAGAATAAAGCTTTATCTCCACAACCAACTGCATGTTTAAATAAATAAATAAAATAAACCACTGACCAGCGTGTGATAGATAACAGCTGAGGTACAAGCACTGACTGCTAAATGTTTTGTAACCTGGCAGGGATGGGTAAAGGGCTTCATACAAGTCAAAGCCTCTTCCAACATGGGAAAAAAAAAGACTTGACAGAAGCTCACCACAGCCACATTATTAACGCTGACAGTGTGACCCCTGTCAGGGGACTACTTTTGTTAAAGAATATTAAACATTTAAAACACTTGAAAACACTTATCAAGGGATGCTTCATTACAGTGACTAGAATAGAGGTTAACAAGTGAGTCAATAATATTAAAAGCACCCTAGAGTTAGGAGGGATCTCCAAAATGAGGTCAGATTAATAAGCTGCTTTTGCTGCTTCCTGATATTTCAGCTTTCATAATATGATAGGACAGTTTTAGTTTATCAGCCTCCCATTAACATTTGGCTTTTCTACATTTATTTTCCATAGTCTAGGTAACATGTACCCAGGACTGGTGTATTTATCTTGATATGTTGTGGAATAATGTTACGCTAGTGAATACTAACTCAGCCCGAGTGTAATTCAGACTGCATAATCACGTCATTCATTTTACAGACACAGAACACAGATTCTCACGGCTCTGCTACAGACACTTACTGACCATTACACAAGTTGACATATAGTGAGACAACAAGACCTCACATGCCATGCAAGAGAATGGCACAAAAGCTGCTCAGTCAGTGGAGTGCACCACACTACACACTATGAAGATATGCATTTCAATTTTATTATTATTTATTTAAAGAGAATCTTTCAAAATCTACATTACAAAGTGCTTTACAGTAAAGCACAATATACATGTACAGTAAACAAGGGACAGTGAAATGCTCTGTTGATCCACTTTGATATGCTTATGAGATGCATTAACCAGCACTGGTTGGTGTTGATTTGTTTGGTAGAGGACTGAGGCCACAAATCCTGTAATTCTTGTCAAATTGCAGTTAAGTATGGATTGGATATGCTTCTGTCAGGCTTGAACAAGACCACCAAAAAGCCTTAAGTAAAGGAAATGATGAATTACCAAGCATCCCCCTGCCAGTGCAGGGGGTGTATTAAGTAGTGCACAGCTGGACACACACACATGAGCACACATTCTTTCTGGCAGATATCCGCACCTTCTCACACTTCACTGATGTTTCGCAATAAATATTTACGCACACATCCTGGCAGCCAGATAGCGTCCTGGAAGCCAGATGTAATTTACACATCTTTTTGATGCCGCCTCATTTTGCATTACATTGAAGTGGTGAGTGAGGAAAATAAGTGGCTGAGTCGGTTTAACTTTGTGTGTGGTTGCTGTGCACAGTGGAGTCCAAACTTTTTGGCATGCAAACTACAAGGGTCAAAATTTAATAAGCAGTGGGCCATGTGCCAAACAATAATCATGTTGCACAATGATTATGAGCAATTATGACAGGCCTCTTAGTGAAATGTGATTATAATCAAGAAATTTACCTTCTACTCAAAATATCTTGTTGATTCAATCAAAAGAATATGTTTACATCCAGAAGATTTACATAATTGGACTCCTGTGAGGCAGGTTTTTTGCTTGCTGGTACAAACCAAAATTTGGTTCATGCCAACTACTTCTGCACAAGTTGTATATGTTTTCCTTGCTGTAACCCAGGCACAGTTGCATTAGGTTGGGTCCCTGAGCCAGTTGAGGACTGGTGCAGATGAACTGTCCAAGGCAACATATGGAGCTCCAAACAGACCTGGGGCAGATCAAGAGCCATCCAAAAGTTCATTAATAATCTATACTATCAATAGCTCTCTCCTATCCCTGCACCTGTTATCCTCCTCTCTGCAAATCCAACTTCCTCTCAGATTAATAGGCAAGGTGGCCATTAGTATCTGACTAAGGCTTTGGTACCGATGGGGGATGCAGTTAATTTGGATAATATCACTGCCACATGTCGTCAACAACAGACTAACAGGAGGCAGGATTCAGAGAGTGGGCTGCTCTGCTCACTGCCTGCTGCCAGCTGTGAAGTCTGGATGAACCTTGAACAAAGAGTTGTCTCTCTCTCTCTCTCCCTCTTAATGTTCTCTCTCTCCAGCAGCTGTGTTACCTGGCACACACACGCATGCCATAAATAATACCTGCACCAAAATACGCTGGCCCAAAATGAAAGGCATTAATGAAGCTTAAGGGCATGGGATGCCACCAAAGGGCATGCACTGATAGATCGGGTCATAGATTTAAATGATGTTTATTGCAGATTGCAGGTGCTTCCAAAATTAACTTAAAAGGTGACTGGGCACAGAACAGGCACACTCACTGGTTCAGCTGCTGAATTAAAGTAAGGCTGCAGAGGCACAGGTGGCAAAACTTCAAATGGCAAAGCCAGGGGCAGGCAGACAGCACCAGGCAAATTGCAGACACTGTCATGTTCGGTGTCACAGAGTGGCTGACAGGGACTGTGGAGCTTTTTGGTACTGGCAGCAACAAAAGTGTGCATGTTTGTGATGCTATACTTCAGGATTAATGAGAGATAAGACCAAGCCAGAGAACATTGTCAATGTAACACCTGCCACATGAAACTATTGTCAACCTCGGCAGGCTTGTAGCTGACAAGGCATGTATTTTAACACATATTGTAGTGAAAACTGTTATTTATGGACAAAATGTAGTATTACACACCAAGTGAAAATACCATTATGAATGACATAATTATTCTTCTGTGTCTTTTGGCCTGATGCAGCGTGCTCAGCAGCTGCAGCAGTATGTGGTGGACAGCGAAGCCAGACCAAGACAGCATCATCCTCTGCTAATGAGACACGGTCCTCCCATGAGGATAGCAGAGGTGTAGCAAGGTTCAGAGAGTTGAATCCAAAGCCCACAGGGGTTTCATCCAATTACTAAACTAACTTGTTATGGTGTATTCAATTAATTTCTTACAGATTCTTAATTAACACTTTTACAGTCTGTAAGTATATACAAAGCTGGACGTTTTCATTTATTTAAAAATACCTGATGTGTGTTTGTTGAATGAGGAGAAACAAAGCTTTTTGGCACATAAGTGGGCGATCATTAGCTTTCTTTTCAAAATGACAGTTTACCCTTCAGCGAGTATTTTGTTACTGTGTATTCTATTGCTGTAAGCCTTTGTAAAGGCTAGAAGATGAGTGTCTGTCTACCTGTTCTTAGACACTTAACACCAATGTCTCTGTATCACAGTAATGCGGGGATAAAGGCATAATGCCATTTCACTGGTGTAGTTGAGTTCTAATCCCTCAATTACCCGTGTGTATTTTTCCATCAACACATTTCGTGGTCTATACAAAATCCAATATGGGAGATTTTCACAAGTCAAGTGTGTTGTTCAAAAAATTAGATTAGTTTTTGAACCCATGACAAATTCCTTAGTTGTACCTGTCAAAAGTGATGGCTCCCTGTTGGCCCTTATCAAATTCAGCAAATTCATTTTCTCTCCAGGTATAGGAGTCATGCTGGTGGAGATTATTATTCTGTTTGTTTGTCAGCTTGTGATTTTCTGCTACCAGTGAGGAATGGCTGTTTTGCATCCAGTGTCTTTTGTCTCCTGCCACCTGTTCCTTTATTACTTGGCTACATACAGTACTGCACTTTCTTTATGTGGATAGAAACTCCTGATCCGTGAGGGGGCTCATACAGGCCTTGGATCTGGTCGGAATGCATCTGCTTGAGATACGACGATTTGAAATTCCACTATTTAAGGGATGAGGACTAAATAAATTTATTTCCTTTTTTTTTTTTTTATTTCAGAGGGGATACTTTTGTGCCATGGCGATCAGAAATGCTAGGTTCTGACATGACTCTCAGCGCTTGCAGAGACTGTTGTAATGTTTTAGTGCTGCTGCCAAGACTTTTCAGGCTAGACATTACAGAGTGGGTCTCCTCCCGTGCTATCACCTACAGCAGAACACTCTGCTGGGAAAAGCCAGACCCGGTCAGACTCACCTCATCACAGTGCAGTGAGTAAAGGGAACCTCAGATTATACAGTCCTGGTGCTTACAACGTCGTTTCATAAGGCACTAAATGAATGCGAGAATACACAAAGCAGAAAACGAATGTGATCTAAATGCCAAGCCCTCTTGCCTTGTGCAGGCTTGAGCAACATCACTGGAGGAAGATGTTTGCTCAGTGCCAGCCTCATTAAATGCAACATACCAGTCCCTTTGCCTGGCACACAGAGTTGAGAAAGAAGTGAAAAAGGTCAGGAGGTGGAATGAAATGAAATTAAAATGTGAAAAACTATGCCGTTAATGCTGCAATGTCGGAGTATTGATTTAACTAATTGAAATGGCTTCAAGGGAGAAACACCAGATGGGTCTTTTCTGGCCTGAGGTGGGGTGCCGGCTGGCTCTGATAGGATCCCATCTGAGACGAACTGTCCCTGGGGTGCATGCTGATGCCTTCCTTCATTCCCCAGCCTCCTTCTCACAGTCAGTACATTCTCATGGTTGTATGGATGTGTAGTAGAAAACTCTGAACAAGAGCTTGTGTATTTGTCCTTTTTTAATACAATTACAGTATAGACTCAGATCAGACAAAAACTGTTGCTGAATTGCTGCAAACTGAGTTTAGGGTATTGTTAAAAAATAAAATACAATAAAAAAACCAATGTCACATATAGGCAGGATAAATATATATTATGTAAAGTTTGCCGCAGCAAAGCAGCAGACACCAAAGCACGGGACCACCCTGGCAAACCGCCCTACTGGCACTACCACATAGCTTACCCTGCTTAAAATTTTATAAAGCACTTACAAAAATAGGACACACTTTCTTTTGTTTTGCTTTAATAAATTACTATGAAACAGCATGAAATACAGTAAGACTTAAATACAGTAAGACCGAGATTGTGTTTGTTCTGTGGGTGAATACACACTCTTACTGTGCAATATTTAGCTTCATGGGGAACAAGTCTGTTTATTTTTATGATTTACTGTTTGGAATGTTCTGCTTTAGTCATGTGCAATCTGTAAGCAACACTCATGCTTAAACTTTGCCATGTGGAGCAGGTTACTCTAACTTTGTCAGTTTTGGTTTGTATACACAAAGGTTCATACAGTCATACACATGAAATATACATGTGTATGCAGCATCAGTCACGCTGGTCAGCTTCATCTTTGTCTGTCTCTTGCAGTTCCCTAACGTTTTTGATTTTTACACCAAAGGAACATGGAAATCTAAATCAGAGCTTGCATTTGCACTGACCCTGTCAGGATGAGACATTTTATGAAAGACAAATCCAGGTTGTGATTATGGAGTTCTTTTCTCTCTGTGTCTTTGCTTTTATGATCGTACTAATCACATCCTGACTGCCCCCTGACTGCCTGTGTCCTTCTGTCCTGGTGGTGCTCCATGCTCAATCCCAGCATGCACTGCCAGTAATTAAATAGAAGCCCAGTCCTCTTGACAATGTCTGTGGCTGATTTGTCTACCTGGCAGCCTCCACATCCACTCTCTCTCTTTCTCTCTCTTTGTATCTATCACTCTGTCTCTCACTCACATACATGCACTCTCCCTCACTCTCTCCTTCCTTGCTGGATGTCACATGAGGAACTGACTCTGGTCTCTGTCTCTCAAATTATTTAATTGGATGCAAACTCAGGAGCAGGGACATCAATGCCGAACTATATCTGCCATAAGGCAGAGCCATTAGTCAATACTTTGCCCTCCACATGCCGAAGGCTTTTGTCAGACCTAATTACCAGTACTGTATTCACTGGAGCTTCACCAGTAGGGGACTGGAACTCCTGTGGGATCTGGTTAAGATCACAGTTCACTCCAAGTGTATACAGTGGCGTTGGAAAGTTTACAAAAGCAAATATCACTCACTATTCTCTTCCACTTAACACTGACGGCTAAATGACTGCAGTCATGAGAGGTATATATTGAAATCCACTGGCTTCCATTGGCTTACAGATATTAGGTCGTGAAGGCTGGAGTGTTGTGTACATTGGACATGAGCTGGCAGAAATGAATAGCATACTTTGTTTCTCCCTTGTTCTTCTGCCCTCAGCTAAACGTCAGCTGCTTAGCTTATGCAGCGAGCTAAACACAAGAGGCCCACAGAGGAAAACTCCGGAGACGATGAAGAATAATTCTTTGTAGCTCTATTGTAGAACTCTAATTTATACTTTCTTTCCTCTTTGTTGTAAAACTGAAACAGAAATAAAGGACATGTTCGTTTTAACATGTGATCCGAATACATTACACATAAATTGACGTTAGAAGTCACGACACACTAAGTTAACATTGTAGTAACAGAGGATAAAAGACCGAAGCAAGATGGCTACAAATGCTAACAGAATGCTAACGTAGTGTTGCCAATACACACGGAGAAGAACGGGATGTGTTAACGTCAATGTAAAGAAACACTCAAACTACACACTGTATTAAAACGACACAAGATAATGATACATAGAGTAAACATAGCACCAGAAACTTACTGATTATGCTAACCCAAGGAGCACCGAAGCTTGCGTGTCTTACGTCTTGAGTATATCCCTAAAAACGTCCGGGCTAAAACTGGATATAAACTTAGTTCCCGTTGGAGACGCTCGCCCACTAGAGGGAATTATAAACCAAGAAATTAGCTGAAGCTTACGTATTTCCCTTAAAGGATTAAACTAAACCTTCAAACAAAATAATTTGGAGCCTGAAAGGCAGAATACTTGTGGTGATGAAAAGAATCGACACTTATGTGTTTTATGTGTTTAATAAATGAAAGCTGATGCACTGATACATCCAGTAAGTTACCATGTTTCTAAATGGCCTGTATGTAGGTTATGGTCAGATTGTTTGTGTTCAGTATGTTCATATCACACACCTTCAGTTAAATCATCGCATATTAACAAGAGCAATATGCTTGCCAAGCATATATACAAACAGTGTCAGTCAGTGACATCAGTAATAATGTGTTTTCACTTTGGCTAAAGCATGTCATTAGCTTTAGGAAATTCATATACATTTCCCAAACTACTGAAATTGCAAAATGTGTTATCTTGTTGTGTTTTTACAGTGAAATAATATACATTTAGTCTGAAGATGATCACAGACAGTTTTGGCTAAAAAACACCAGCTCATTAGCTGGTTGGCCAGCTGAAATGACAGGTACAATCTGCAAAACTGCTGCTTGAAAGTAGCGGTTGTTGTGAAACTTTGTATTAGTTGCCTACTCTGATAAACCTGACAGCCCAAAAGATTTTTTAGAATTATTATATTTAGATTCCATTTGTTTGGTGTGTTATATTTATTTGCTTTTGGTAATCTCCAGACAGTCATTGAAAAACATGACAACGCACTGCAAAACAAACCATTTTTATGAAGATGCATCCAGAATGAAAATGCGAAAACTGGACCTATACCAACAAAAGTATGGAGGTTTAGCTACATGTTTACTAACCTTGAAAATATACCTGTCCCTCTAGGGTGCCTCATCAAGTCTGGTGGTCAAGTTTGCAGATACCGATAAAGAGAGGACCCTACGCAGGATGCACCAGATGGCGGGCCAGCTCGGCATCTTCAGTCCCATGACCATCCAGTTTGGGGCCTATGGCGCCTACTCTCATGCTGTAAGTCTCAGCCCGGCGGGGGAGGAGACGGTGAGCTTAAAAAAAAAAAAAACAGTTGTGGTTTGAGGTTTGAACTCACTAACTCTTCCATTAGGCATGTCACACTCCCAGCGAAAAACTCCTTATGTGATTCACAAAATGTCTGAGTGCAAATATAGTACACAGGCTTTACAAATGCTGCACTACTTTTTATGTTGTGTCTTTTTACCCCTTCATTTGTCCCACAAAGATGCTTCTCATGTATGATCAACACCACACTGTTTTACTTACATTTCTTTGACTTGGTCTATGAATTTAAACTGTCAACCCAACCTTTCCTCTTTAAGATTTCATCTATTGACACATATTCCTTTACAAACTGTGTTGCATGTTATTACCAAGAATCTACACCCTCTACCCCTTTCCTTGCAAGCCCAACCCACCCCTACTTCATATTCACACATGAAAGTCACAGCTAGAGTTAGAAGTCTGTGAGATTTTGCACTCGCACAGTAGCTAACAACTCACCCTGACAGGTGAGAATCGTCTACTCACACACAGTCTCTCCACTAAATTTGCCACCACAAACCTCTTTTTCTCTCACACACATGCGCAATAAAAAGTAATGGAACTGTTTGCAATTTCCTGGTTTCCTGCATAAATTGGTCATGAAATGTGATCTGATCTTCACCCAAGTCACAAATATCAACAAACATAATATTTCTATGCTGATAAAACAAAAATAGTGATCTTTCATGTCTTTATTGAACATATGCATTAAACATACAACGTGATGGCGAAAAAAGTAATGGAAACACTGGGCTTCTGATGTCATTACAGGTCAACTGGAGTCAGGTGTTAGCAAACCTTGAGTCCAATCAATGAAATGAGAATTGAGGTGTTGTTTAGAACTACCTTGAGATATAAAAACACTTAAACAGGGTCGGTGTGCTGTTCACAAGCAGCATCAGCTGATGTGGGCCATGTGATCTCAAAAGACCTCGTCATGAGTTGTTGATTTGTATGTAGCTGGAAAGGCTTACAGGGTCATCTCAAAGACTTTAGATATTCATCAGTCCACAGTTAGACATATTGTTTATAAATGGAGATGATTTGGTACTGTGGCTACTCTCCATAGAAGTGGCTGCCTGGCCAAGATCACTCCAAAGGCACAATGCAGAATGTTCAGTGAGGTAAATATGAACCCTAGAGTAACAGCTGAAGACATGAAGGATTCATTGGAGTTGGTTAACATCTCTGTTCATGAGTCAGCCATATGCAAAATATTGAACAGGCAAGGTATCCATGGCAGGACACCATGGAGCAAGGCATTGTTCTCCAAAAATGACACTGCAGCAAGCCTGAGGACTGAGATCTGTGAACAGATGAAATGGAGGTAGAATTGTCTGGGAAGAACACACAGCACTACGTATGACATAAAAAGAGAACCGCGTGCCAACATGAGAACATCAACCCAACAGTGAGGAATGGTGGAGGGAGCATCATGATTTGGAGCTGCTTTGCTGTCTCTGGACCTGGACCGCCTGCCATTGTGGAGGGAAAAATTAATTCCCAAGTTTAACAGTGTATCTTCCAGCAGGGTGTCTGTCCACAAGCTGAAACTTACTGTAGAACAAGCTGGGTGACGCAGCAGGACAATGACCCTAAACATCGAAGTAAATCTACTACATAATGGCTTTGGAGACACAAAATCTGCCTTTTGAAGTGGCCCAGTCAGAGTCCAGACCTCAGCCCAATAGAGATCCTGTAGAATGATCGCAAGAGAGCCATTCACACCAGACATCCTAAGAATAGGGCTAAGCTGAAGCAGTTCTGTGAGGAAGAATGGTCCAAAATTCCTCCTGAAGATTGTGCAGGTCTAATCCACAGCTACAGGAAGCGCTTGTTTGAGATTATTACTGCCAAAGATGGTTCAACCAGATCAGATCACATTTCATGAACAATTTGGACAGAAAACCAGGAAATTTCAAGCAGTGACATCACTTTTTCTTGTAACTATACATATAGATATACTATAAATAATACCTGGCTTGCTAAACTCATCTTGGCACATAGCCTCTATCCTGTGTTGGTATAATGAGCACAAGGCCTGTGTGGTGTTACAGTGGCCATGATGCAACGCTGCAGGGCAACACAAACCACTCTGTTCAAGAACAAGGCATGGGCCAAGCAAACAGAGATGTGAGAGCAAACATACTCTGGTCTTGCAGCTATTTCACCCTCCTTTCCTTTTCTGTCCTTCCCTCCATCCCTCCCATCATTCGCCTCTCTCCCCACTGCTTTTTAATCCTACAGCAGATGATGCAACAGCAAGCAGCCCTGATGGCAGCGACACAAGGGTCCTACCTGAACCCCATGGCAGCCATCGCTGCCGCACAAATGCAGCAAATGGCAGCTTTCAATGTCAACGGCCTGGTAGCTACTCCCATGACTCCATCCTCAGGTATGAATTAATAGGCACAAACACTAACAGGCATGGGTACAAGAGCAAAGACATGTCTATACACATGCACACACAAACATTTGTTTTAATTTTTTGGGGGTGATATTACTTTGACTTACATTCATTCTAACCCTTACCCTAATCTGTACCATAACCTCTAATTACCTTAGCCCAAACTAGAGGTCAGCAACCTGTGGTTCCTGAGCTACATGTGGCTCTTTAGCCTCTCTCTAGTGGCTTCTTGGCTCAGTGGCTACAGCTATGGCTGCTAACTAGAGCTACAGTAGCAGGCTGGCACATTAGTATGTCATCACATCTCCAAAAACGTCAGAGCAAATTTCTAAATTGGCATTACTTGGATCGACTAGATCCAACTAGAAGGTTATTTTCTCAACTGAAAAAAAGAAAAGATAATAAAGTGATATAATTACAGTTGTAGGACAAAAATGACTGTATAACAGCTTTGAGCCTGCCCTGTCACCACTGTGGGACGATTGGATAGTGTAGTGTATGTCGTTACCATTTACTACGAAGTTATGTAGGCCATCCAGGTACTACTCACAAACATACAGTATCTTGTTTATTTCATGGCATTTTGTTGATTTATTTCAGTTGCACAAACACAGAGAGGATAGGCTGGCATACCTTAGTTATTTATAGATACAGTACTAAGTAAACCCATACATTAGCAGCAGATTTTTTCTCCATTACACAGTCGGTTTTGTGTTTTGTTGGAAATGGCATTCCCCAATAAAAATAACAAAAATGTCAACTGCTGTCTTTCTTGTAGTAGTTCTATAATCTTATAAGTGCACAAAAAGACTGTATTATTGTAATGGGGATGTAAAGTTAAAGTACCAAATAGTCTAATCATAAATAGCAGCCACCTTCTGGTAAAACATGAATACATCTTCATTTAGACGTATTTGTACTGTTGTTAGGCTATTTAGCAAATAGGTTGTAGTATGACAATGTAAAGTGTTCAAATTGTATATATATATATTCTTTCTGGACAAAAATGGCTCTTCAGGTAATATAGATTGCTGATCCCTGCCCTAACCCTAATTTGCTAACCTAATCTTAACTTTAATCTTAATTTCAATACCAACCTCTTCCTAACCTCAGTGGATACATCCCAAGTCTATTACATGTTTTTTCCTTGCTCCTTAATTCAACGATGCTCCAAGACTCTTACAGTGAGGAACAGAAGTATTTGAACACCCTGTGATTTTGCAAGTTCTCCCACTTAGAAATCATGGAGGGGTCTGAAATTCACATTGTAGGTGCATTCCCACTCTGAGAGACAGAATAAAAAAAAAAAATCAGTCAATCACATTGTATGATTTTTAAAGAATTTATTTGTCTTGCACTGCTGAACATAAGTATTTGAACACCTGAGAAAATCAGTGTTAATATTTGGTACAGAAACCTTTGTTTGCAATTACAGAGGTCAAATGTTTCCTGTAGTTCTTGACCAGGTTTGCACACACTGCAACAGGGATTTTGGCCCACTCCTCCACACAGATCTCCTCTAGATCTGTCAGGTTTCGGGGCTGTCGCTG